GTTCTCAAGGCTCCTGTTTAGCTCCCCTCTAATGCTGGCAGTAAGTCAAAGTGGTAAGTGCCTATGATTTTGCTTGATAGAAACTTACTCTTGATAGAACCAAGTCCCTACCTCATGCCCAAACCCCATCATTATCGACAAATCAGATATCTGTCTCCCTCTACAGCCTTTGGGGCTTGTTCCAGTTAATTTTCTCTAGGCATGGGTTGTGTGCTGCACAAAAGCTGGCAGCAAGAGTAATTTTATTTCAGACGACAGCTTCCATGGATGACAGTGTGGGGACTGGCAATATCTGCTGTCCAGCCAGTAGGTTGGTGGTCGCAGCATGCCTCCAGGCTATGGAGGTCCCCAGACCTGTGCCTTCTCTGCCTGGAGCATTGGGACTGCTCTCTGCAGCCAGGAGTGAGGGAAGTCAGGGGTCACTGTTGAATCTCTTGCAGTTTGCAGTGAGAAAGCATGCTCTCTGGGCACTCACTCACACATGGTAGCCCGGATTTCAGTCCCAAGGACTGAAGGACTCCAAGGACTGCTCATATGATTTTATCTAGGACTGTTTCATGCAAATAATGTTTGCATATACTTCCAGTATTGTCCTTAGTCCTCAGTCTATCCATAGTTATCCTCCATAATTGCTCATTCTCTTCTGTCCCAATACATCTGCTTTCATACAAATCAGAATGAAGGTGAAGGAGAGTCCTTCATCCCCCAATCAGACTGGTGATTATGGTACTGCTCTGGGAGGTGTGGGTTTGAACCTTGTTCTTCCCCCAGGTTTCCAGCTCTCTGGGTGAATGCTCTAGCCACAGGCTCTGGGATAAAAGGAGACAACTGGGTATCTATGTGGTCATGATGAATTGCAGCGAGTCCTGGGTGGGCAGAAGTGATTCCCAACTTTACTAAAGCCAGACAGATGTCAGATTTAGGATATGCCTTTCTTCAGTTGTGGTGGGCTGTCGTTTTGGGTCAATGCCTTTCTGGGCTGCCTGCATTGTACAGGGAGCATAGGGTTCAACCACAGAGCTGTGAATTTCATTGCATGAACAAGATGCTGAAAAGTTAGGAAACACGGTGCTCAAATGCCAGCAATGAATCCCTCCATATATCTAAGCCTCTGTAACACAGTGAAACAAGAGAAATAACAATCTGAGATATGACATTAAAGTATATTGGTGTATATCATCCTGGGTCAGACCCTTGGATGGTAAAGCCTGATGTAACTCCTTTGATTTCAGCATAGTGAGAAATAATTTAGGGCAGTGTGGGATGGGGTTCTGGCCCACAAAGTTTGTCACAGTAATGAAATCCCAGATGTCAGGTATCCCCTTTGCTCATGTAGTCTTGGCTGAGAAAGAGATGATGGCTCATTTCTGGTGGAAAATAGTGAATTTGTAGGTGAGTGAGCTATAAGATAGCACAAAGAGAGTAAATGCCAGTAAATCAGAAAACATGGCCAAATGGGAGTGTAAATGGGAGCTCTGTATTTGTTCTCACAACGTATTTGGTGGTAAGGCTTTTAACCATTTCAAAACGGTAAAGCAGGTGTCGCATATTTCATGTGAAATAGAAGTAACTATAAACAGAAGGGCAGTGCGAAATCCATGATTGTGCCTCTGTAGGACTTCACATGGATGGACAAATATCCCCTAGCACAGGATCAGGGCCATAATGGGCAAACCTCGCTTTCCAGGAAGCCACTTACCCCCTCCCTCCATCAGGATGATAGATTCACTCAGTAATGTCTATTTGACATTTACTGTCTTAGATCCCACACTCCTGCCTCTGAGACAGAAAATGCATGATGTGGTAGCAGACTCATATTAATGCAGCTCTCAAGTCCAAACAGAGCCTGATGTCTTCTTTTGTAAAAGCAGGTTATAATTTTTGTTACCTACCCCTTAATTTTCAACCTATGAACATTTTTCCCTTAATTCTATTGTATCAGCTATTATACAGATTAGCTGATTTGCATGCTCTGCCAAGCTTAACCAAAAAGATTCAAGTCTGCAGGTCACATTTATTAACAGAAGCAATACTCTCGAGGTACATGTTTGCTTGATTTTTCATCTTTAAATAGACAGGACTGCCAAAAAATTAAACATACTTGTCTAAGAGGGAGAGGGGAGTCAGTAAAGGCATTGATGAAGTAGCAGTGATTTCAAAATAGCTTCTCATGTAGTGATTTTTAACCATTGGAGAGAAATACTGTGGTATTTCTGATGAAGCTTTGTGAAGAAATGAACATTATTTGACAAACAAATCCCTGTTTAGCTTTCTGTGCTAATTTAATCCCTAGGTTTCCAGTGCCTGAGAATTAATAACTTCCAACAGTTTTAGTTTTCCCATAAAAAGCACCATTGGTAGAAAAAAAAGGGCAGTTTCTAGTTACGGGAAGCAGGACTGAGTCAGGTCTGGACCTGCAGAGATTCCAGCTTGGCCCTGTGGCTTCTAATCCTGGGTCTTGGCTTTCTCTGCCCCAAGTTCCCGATCCACCTCTGGTCAGGAGCCAGCAGGAGGTGTAATGTGTAGCTGAAGGGGGGATCACAGCTGGACATGACCGAGCTGAAGAAAAGCAGTGAGAGCAGGCAGGTTGTGAGAAGTGTCTCCTCCTTGTGAGATCAGAGATGTCACCTAGGATATCCTTCAAGCAAAACTGCCGTATTAGATGTATTGTCCATTTTTACCAGCTGTAGGTCCTACGATATGTAACAGCAGGATTTTTCAGAAGTCTTTTATATGCTAATAAGGTGATTCTGTATTACTGAGGAAACTGTATGCTTTCATATCAAATGACGTTTGAGAAACAATAAACTAAAATTCTTCGCAATGGTTTTCTAAGGATGGAGGAATTTACACAATGTGTGAATTTTACTGGCTGCAATCTCACTGTAACGATGTTATTCCTCAGCAACAACAGGATGACACAGATGAAAAGCAGCCACTCCTTTAGGTGAATTATGCTATTGGGTTAGAACACTTGGCCTTGCCCTGGTGTTAGACACGTAGCAAAATCAGTACAAAATCAGCAAAAAAAGTACAAATAGAGTATGTGATGTTGCTGGGGAGCAGTGTGCAGGTTTAACCATTTAAACTGCTTTTGGGAAGTCTTACGCACGCTCACTCTGAACCCACCTGCAGAGTATCAGGGTGCTAAGCCTTAATGCTGGCACCAGAAGACAACTCCTATCCCTTTCGCTACTCCTGTATGGCTCAGAAAGGGTGATCCCTGGCGTGGCCACGAGCTGGGCATGTCCCGGTTCCCTGCTGCCCTCTGCCCTGGGCGCTGGCTGCAGAGCCTGCCTGCAGACAGCATGAGCCCAGGGCTGTGGGCAGCTCCCGGCGGGCAGTGGGCACTGCCCTGCAGGCGGGAAGACATGCTCTGCTCATGCCTGAGGCTGTGCCGGCAAGCGCACCGTGTGCGGGAGTGGGGAGCTGCTCAAAGCCCCCCTCAGAGACAGTGTAGCCATACCTGTGAGACAGCAAATGCTGTGAAGGCATGTTAATCCTTTATAAATAATAGGCAGCTCGCTGCTGGGGTGATAAATGAGGCAGTTCCCATCCTGGGACAACTCTGGGATCCATCCTCCCAGTTTTCCATAGTCTAAATTTGTAGAGAGCAGTGTGTGACAGAGACTCAGTGGAAAGGGAACATGAGCGCAGATATTCAGGCTGAAATTTTGGAATACTATACGGTTCACTTCCTAGTACTTCCTTTTTGTCTAAAAGAATTTCCACCAAGCAAAGTGTTAAGGCATCAAATATTTTAACATGCTACAGACACAATATGTGTAATGCTTGAGAAATATGTGAGAGCATTAGAATCTCAGATACCATTATTTTAGTATGGAAGAAAAATTTGTCTGAGAAACTTTGTTCAGATATGCTGAGAAGCTTTACAGAAGAAGTCTTCATGCCATGATGGATTTCCTGAAAAAGGAATTATTGTCCCACCTAATACTCTCGAAATCCTAGCAAAATGCTAGTGGGAGGATAGGCTGCTTGCCGCAACTTTACCTAACCAGAATAAGACATTTTTTAATGCAAATTGCAGATGTTCCTGCAAGGTGATCCCAGTTAGTCCAGCTCACTTTCTAACTAAGTGAAGGGCATCATCACCCCTAAAATGTGCAAGACTGACACTCAAAAGACAATCAAATCTCAACTGCTCTAACATACAAAAGTTTAGTGAAAGAAAACAACACAAATCCTGTGGCAGACATGTGCAGAGTGGGCAGGTAGTTTCTGATACGCTGAAGGAAAATTACTCTGATATTTTAATCAAAATATTATGAACCCATCACTGAGTGGAAAATTTTATGTTACCTGTGGCTTGTGATACATGAATTCAAAGATGTTGCCTTTAGAAAAAGAAGTTCTGTTCATTGTCTTGCAGTTTGCAAATGGATATTCTTTATAAATCAACATTAAGATCCTGTGAGAGTATTCTTTGTCACTGAATTACAGATCCGTCTTCTCATAACACTGCCGTAGGAAAAGAAAAAAGTGACAGTTAGTTCATGCTGATCTTGTACAATGGTTTCCTTGTTATTTGATAGAAGCTAAAATAAAACAATGAATCCTGAAATGTGTTTGTTCGCATAAAATGCCACTGGTGTATGGCTGACTGGGGTTGCTCCTTTTGGTTTTGATGAAATCCAGAGGCAATAATACATGTGTGTATACCAGGCTTGCTGTAGATAAAAAGGTATGTCAGATCTGGCATGAAAAGGAGTCTTGGTTTGTGGTGATGATGATGGTCATGCTTCCCATGACTTTACTATGGCCAAGTGTTTACTCCTAAACTCTTTGTATAACAGGCAATCATAGAGAAATTCCCTAGGAAACTTTACTTCCTTGTACTGTCAGACAAATAAGGTGCATTATTATATCCTTTTAATCAAAGGTAGCTACAAAATTTAAAAATATCAGTACCAGCTATTGCTTGTATTAATATATAATGTGAGTTAACTTTTACTTGAGCTTTATGTAAAATTTATCCCCAGATCTGCCATTGGGAAGCTGGGAGCGGAGGTATTTGAGGCAGTGTACAGCTATCTCAAAGAAGCGAGACAGCAGAATGCTAGTGAGGAGGAGATCAGGAGACGCCTGGAGAACCTGGTTTCTAGAGCAAGCGATTGCTTTGAAGTGGATCAACTTCTCTACTTTGAGGAGCAGCTACAGGCTTCAGAAGCCCGTCTTCAGCTATAAAATGTGTGTCAGTAACAGCGCGGGAAACGGCAAGGAGGAGTGAAAGTGCTGAGCTGCCTTCTTTAGGCCAGCAAGCAAGTATGGGAGGTACTAAGAGGAAACTTACTGAAGGTAATGTAGTACATATAAGCATGTGGGTAAACTCAATTTGCGAATGCAGACCACAGTGAGAAGTGAGTAAATACGGTATAGATTACAGGGGCAGGAAGAAAGACAAATGTTTGTGACAGTGGAGAGAAGGATTCACCGTTACCAGAGTCCCCTTTTTCACCACTTCGGGCATAAAGAAAGGTATTTTCCTGGGCCTTGGCCAGGCGTCAGTCCTGCACTCAGACCATCACTGGCAAAGCTGCCCCTGATGGAAATGGTGCAGGATTAGACTCCAGCTGCTGTTGATTCCTGCGCTAACTGGTCCTCGTGACACTTAAGCCCATATTTTTTGTGCTTTGGCAGACTTACCCTTGAACACACATGTATATTTACAGCTACTCAGCCACTAATTGTCTTGTTATTATTCATTGTCCAAAAGGACTGCATTTAATCTGCGTGACTTTCAAAGGAACTGTGAAAAAGATGCATACATGCATATTTATATACATATATGCATACTCACACACAGAGAGATAGGTATGTATATCCATAGAGACCGAAAGATGTCTGACCATACAGCGTACGTGTGTGCATGTATAGAGACAGAGACATGAGGCCGGAGCTATAGCTGACTGTGGTAGCTAGGAATCCTTGCTGCAACTTCTGAGTTTTAGGTCAAATTCATTGTACACAGATGGAACAATAAACTGACTTTTTTGGCTTGCACACAGTTACTGTTAATGTTTTTTCTTAGTGTTTATGCTCCCTTCTTCATATGCATCACACTTTTGCTGATTTCAACTGTATATCATGCTCTGATTATATACTTGATGTTTTCCTTCTACCCCTTCCTTCTTTATTCTGCATTCTGAGCTCCTTCATCTATCTGTGTAAAACACTAAAGGATAACAAAGTGGTACAATCTATAGAGGAATCTCAGATATATTGTGGACCAAATTAATTTTAGGCATCGAGCCATTATCATAATCCTTATGTTTCCTGCTTTTGTGCCACAACTCTTAAAGGACTCAGGGACTGAATTAAATAAATTAAAAGAAATTTGTAACGTGAATATCAGAAAGCATTGCTATTTGACCTGAGATGAGTTATTTACAGCTAATGATACCGGTATTGATAGTAAATTAAGCAGTGCTACAGATCCATCTTCGTGACATGCTTTAAGAGACTCAAAAGGAAAGGTAAGTAGAGTCGTCTTAATCTATCTCAGCAGCAGCACAAACTGAGGAAGCAAAGGACATGCCCAGCTACAGAAGATGTGGCATCATGCTTCCAGCTCAAAATAATAGGAGATTCTGGCATGTCTGATTTCAGCTTTTGTTTGGAATACACAGTGTTACAAACTGGAGGCTAAAATCCACTGTGATGTTCACTGAAGTAGGGAAACTTTTTTTTTTATTTCTATGTGGTCATTCAGATCCCATAGGTGGAGAGACAGTTTGAAGCACAGATTCTCAGTCAGGTTTCAGTCTCTTTCCTGTTATTTCTTCTTGTACTTACACTCTCCATCCTTCTCCATGTTGTGTCCGTGTACCTGTTTCCATATTTTTTGCACATGACTTCATTTAAGACCATTTAAAAACAGAAGTGCCAAAGTCCAAGATGTAGGAAGAGTGCTTGTCCCTGTTGCAGGGACTAAAAAGTTGACAAAGCAAACCATAAGTAACTAACACATGGTGAGAATAATGTCAGAGAGAGATAATCTTGACTGCTGCACTTACCTCTGGCTGTGATTCAGAGTGATTTATCACAAAAACTTCAAGAACAGCCTGTGTAAGCAATCAATTCCTTTTTATTAGTGAGGAACACCTCATGAGACTTTTTTCCTGCAGCATGCAAGAATAAAGAGCTGCATAGGAATGGGTCAGGCTCTCTAAGGCAGTCAAGCACTAGGGAGATCATTAAAGGGCAACCCTTAAAGCCTGGAAAACATGGTTTAGCCATGCAGGTTACCCTCAGGGAAATGGTTGTTCTCTGATAAGCAGTACTTTTGCTTGTTGCACATGAAAAAGAAATCACAGCGCCTTTTACAGCTACTTCAGGTGCTTTCTTCTCTCTGCAGGATATGACTTTCAAGTCACGTGAGGGTCTGGATGTTACTGCTTTACTGGTTATATACTTTAAATTACACTTTGTTTTTGGTTTTTTCCATCAATCATACCACAATTAGGCAATGTGGTATACATATTAAACTCAGC